GAGAAAAACAATTGGAGATGTTAGTCAGATGTCTATGTGTTGTTTCAGACTTTAGTTAAGATGGTATATGGTGGGGTGGATATCTTTGCAGGCAGGCTTCTCCTCCTTCTGGCCATGTGGCTATAGGGAGATTTTCATATGGAGATATATTGGATTGCAAAAGAGGAGTCCCTGTTGAGATGCAAATGGATTTTAAATTTCCTGGACTTTGAAAATCTCCTTATAGCCACATGGCCAGAGGGAGGAAGAGCTTGCCTACAAAAGATATCCTCCCCACCATATACCATCTTAACTAAAGACTGCAACAACATGTAGGCATCTGACTAACATCTCTGATTGTTTTTCCCCTGTTTGGTTTGTAATATCTTGCTGGATGAAGAAGCCCATGGAGCTTAAAAACCTTGCAACAAGTATATTGTGAATTTTGGTTGGTCAATAAAAGTATCACTGATGGATTTTTGTTTGAATTTACAATCAGTGCTGTTTGTTGTAGGGAAAGGTGTGGAATAAATCAAATATTTTTTTCAGCTGTTGTATATTGTACAACACCTTGAGTCTTTTGTAGAAAATGAATTTATAATTAAGAAGAGTAACAACTACCATGTTGATGATGCCATCATTTACATGACAAGGGATATTGGATACTATCCTCGGTTATCCCCCTGTCTACAGCTAAGGAAAAAAAAGGGCATTTTTAAACTTATACCAGCCTGAGCTTTCAAAGCACCATGGCCAGTGCCCATGGTGGCTAGTGAATCCTGGGAACTGTAGTTTAGAAAAGTAACATTTGCCAATCTGTTATCTTCTCCTGTTTATCCCTGTGTGAAGTGTTCAGGAGCCTGCCAGGGGGAAGGTATAGTCACTGCTGCCACCTGCTTTGCCAGATGTTTCTCTCTCTGTTTCTTGTCTTTCTGGTTGGACCAGAGCACCAGCTAGTCATTTGTGGGTAATGAGTGCAGAGGAAGATCAGAGAATCTGTTTCTCTGTGACCTTTGCTGGCATCATACCAATCTGCCTGAATCACATTTGCATTTAAGACAAGTTGCGCTTGTGCCAAATGTTGTAACTACAATTAAAATCTTTTTTTCTTGTAGTGTGGAAGAGGCTAACACCTTTAGAATTTAAGGCTGTGACAGACAGTAATTCAGATTTTTAGAACTGTATTCATTCTAAGTATGTATAACATGTTTCTAGATAGTGCCACACTGAGAATGGCTGCTTCTTGCACTCCAGGGGCCCAGTTTCAGCGTGGAAAAGGTCTCAGTGGCCATGTTCCAGTTGTGTGTGGAGCTAAGGTGATGTCTGGGCCAAAGCCAAGTGACCAGGGCCAAATATATTTCTTATGAGTTGGACATTTCCCCAGCTGTGTATCCAAGGTAGAATACATTTATGTGCTTGTCTTCTCATGAGGGAGTCTCAGTGCTATAACTTTCCAGGTTGCAAAGCACAGCTTAAAGACATGCAGGGGCTTCCTGGCCTGCAAAGCATAGTTTAGTTTCATGCTACTTTAATTATCTCTGCATGTCACTAAACACACACACACACA